CCGCATGGGCCAGGCCGTGGAGCTGGACCCGGAACTGGACTGGTGCTTGGTGGAGCCGGAGTGGAGCTTGGTGGAGCCGGAGTGGTGCTTGGCGGAGCCGGAGTCGAAGCGTTTACTCTGGTGTGACTATGGAACAGGTCCGTCTTGGCGATCGCCGGAATCAAGAACATCGGCTTACGGTACTCGTCCGTAGTCCATGGCGATTCGTCGTCAATGTAGAAGTCGGCGTTCGAAATGTGATCGTAGATGAAGTAAGAGCATCGATCTCCGCCGTCGCCTTCGCATTGGAAATTGCTATCACAGCAGAAGCCATACACAGTCAAATTGTCGGTATGGTAAATCGGGTTGGCGCGGGGGACCACAAATGTGTTGTCGTTGTCAAGATCGTCCACACAGTATTTCTCTTGAGTTTTATTTTGGCTCTGGAAAGTTGAGAGGCTTCACAGAGGGCAGAAAAGTTGAAGATTTAAGTATTTATAGATTAAGTTTGGCAAAAATCGCCAGCGTTTCTCGATTTCAAAGCGTCACGCTTCTATAGCACTCTTCTTTACACTTACATCCTTCCAGCAAGCCGGCACCATGTCCCTTACGGCTCTTGGAAGCTCTGCATCGGTGAGGTCCGCCACTTTGACAACTGGCAACGAGCCTTGACCACAGATGAGAGTGTCTAATCTAACGGCATCCTCGGGTCCAAGACTCATATAGTTTCCCATCACATACACGTGAGGCCGGTTGCTGATATCCGACCAGCCCGGAATGTCATACGCGCAGTTTGAGCCGCTGAAGAAATTCGAATCATATACTCGTTATTGAATACAGAATACAATAAGAATAAATATACTCACTTTTTTAGAGAGAAGAGTTTGATATACTTGGTGTCGGCCACTTCGTAAAGGATGTCGCCGTAGACTCCGTCACCAGCTTTGGACGGGAAGAATACTAATGGGTACGGCAAGTACTAAACAAATCATTGATATTATATCTCTCGTCTTTTAATCCTTCAGACTTACGGATGGAATCAGAGTCTCCTTTGAAATCGATGCAAAACTCTCGTTACGGCTTACTGAAATTAAACAAGATTAGGGCAGTCATAGATACCGTCAAACCAGTTCAATGTAGATATAAACCTACAGGCCCCGATTTTATAGAATGTGCCTCCAGGAAGTTTCGACATGACAATAAAATTATCAAAATCATCGGGTCTCAACTTGTTGTAGATTCTATCCGGATGAACTTTCTTGATGTTCTCCAACACATTGCTAGATGGACGATATCCAAGAGTACAGTAGAACAGCAACGAAAAAGACACGATTACCGGTAGGGTCCTCATCTTTGTCAAAATAATTTAATTAACGATACATTTGCTTTTATTGCAAATTTCAAGTCATCATTTGCATTATACAGTCCAAATGAGGGCAGTAATTGTCAAATAATATCAGCTTCCGAAGATGTTAGCAAATTAAATTGTTAATGAATGTCGTGAGAATTTCGGTCTACAAAAGTTTAATGTACAGCGGTTACTATACATATTTACATATAAAGGTATAACATAAGCGTTTAAATTTTTTTTTCCAAACCGCGATTTTCGGTGCATAAAAAAGTCGACGCCCAAATCAAAAAATTGGCGTCAATTTAATTTTGTCTCGGCACCCGATTATGAAATCCTGTGCATTTTTTCTAAACCCAACGCCCGTTTATCAACATCGGTGCTCAAAGTCTTAAGTCTGTACCGAAGCCCTAAGTCGGCACCGAATTTCGGAATTCGGGGCAGGGTTTCGGGGGAACAGTTGACCCAGGATTTCCTGATTTTTTTTTGTTTTTTGTCAGTGTTCAAGATATATTTTCTGAATGAAGACAAGATAGAATTCGTCCAAAAAGGGGACCAAGAGCAGGCTGCCCCGTTTGATTTGATATCTAGATTTCCCGTTTTCTGCTCGGATAAAGCACCAAATTTTAGAATTTTGTTATATTTGTTGTACCATGGTTAATGTTAGTTTTATTTCTTATTTTTTTTGTGCAAACTCGCCGAAAAATGGACAGATATAGGTTTAGGACTGGCCACTAGGTTAATTATACCATGAAAATAGTTTGCAGCATACAAGTTTAGTCGGTTACAATCAGAGATTGCCACGGTCAAAATTTCGGCTCCGGCTCCGGCTCTTAGCTCCCAGAGCCGGAGCCGAGGCCACATATGCAGCTCCGGCTCCGGCTCTTGGATCCGTGAAAAATTTAAAAAGGCCTCCGGCTCCGAATCCCCGCTCCTATGCAAAACGTTTTTTTAAGAATATTTTTCCGAAAATAAACGTTATTAGTGCCAGAGATCATACAGCCAACGTTTTTGCAGTCAAGTCAGATCCTCCGCAGTGTTTTTCAAGCAATTTGGTTTAACAAGCTCACGAAATTTTTTCTTTTCTGACCGCTGGGAAGCCTGGCTCCGACTTTGGGCTCGGGAACCGGAGCCGACCCCAAAATTTCCGGCTCCAGCTCTGGCTCCCGGCTCGGAGCCGGAGCCGCTCAGAGCCGGAGCCAAGAGCCAGCTCCGGAGCCGTGGCAATCTCTGGTTACAATATATGAACGAAATTTACTTTGCAACATGCATTTATTATTATATATCTGGTAAGCAACAAAAATTACTTTCCGCCAACAAATCCGAAGAAGAAGGACAAATTGCAGAACCCGCATGGACCAGACCGTGGAGCTGGACCCGGAACTGGACTGGTGCTTGGTGGAGCCGGAGTGGAGCTTGGTGGAGCCGGAGTGGAGCTTGGTGGAGCCGGAGTGGTGCTTGGCGGAGCCGGAGTCGAAGCGTTTACTCTGGTGTGACTATGGAACAGGTCCGTCTTGGCGATCGCCGGAATCAAGAACATTGGCTTACGGTACTCGTCCGTAGTCCATGGCGATTCGTCGTCAATGTAGAAGTCGGCGTTCGAAATGTGATCGTAGATGAAGTAAGAGCATCGATCTCCGCCGTCGCCTTCGCATTGGAAGTTGCTGTCACAGCAGAAGCCATACACAGTCAAATTGTTGGTATGGTAAATCGGGTTGGCGCGGGGGACCACAAATGTGTTGTCGTTGTCAAGATCGTCCACACAGTATTTCTCTTGACTTTTATTTTGGCTCTGGAAAGTTGAGAGGCTTCACAGAGGGCAGAAAAGTTGAAGATTTAAGTATTTATAGATTAAGTTTGGCAAAAATCGCCAGCGTTTCTCGATTTCAAAGCGTCACGCTTCTATAGCACTCTTCTTTACACTTACATCCTTCCAGCAAGCCGGCACCATGTCCCTTACGGCTCTTGGAAGCTCTGCATCGGTGAGGTCCGCCACTTTGACAACTGGCAACGAGCCTTGACCACAGATGAGAGTGTCTAATCTAACGGCATCCTCGGGTCCAAGACTCAAGTAGTTTCCCATCACATACACGTGAGGCCGGTTGCTGATATCCGACCAGCCCGGAATGGCATACGCGCAGTGTGAGCCGCTGAAAACATTATAATCATATACTCGTTGATGAATACAGAATACAGTAAGAATACATATGCTTACTTATTTAGAAAGAAGGGTTTGATCAACTTGTCGGCGGTTACTTCGTAAAGGATGTCGCCGTAGACTCCGTCACCCGCTTTGGACGGGAAGAATACCAATGGGTGGGGCGTGCCCTAAACAAATCATTGAAATCTCTTGTTTTTCAATCCTCAGACCTACGGATGGAATCTGAGTCTCTTTTGAAATCGATGCAAAGCTCTCGTTACGGCTTACTGAAATTAAACAAGTGGCAACATACCGTCAAACCAGTTAAGCGTAAATCTAAGCTTACAGGCACCGATTTTATAGAATGCGCTTCCAGGAACTTCCGACATGACAATAAAATTATCAAAATCATCGGGTCTCAACTTGTTGTAGATTCTATCCGGATGAACTTTCTTGATATTCTCCAACACACTGCTTGATGGACGATATCCAAGAGTACAGTAGAACAGAAACGAAAAAGACACGATTACCGGTAGGGTCCTCATCTTTGTCAAAATAATTTAATTGACAATACATTTGCTTTTATTGAAGATTTTCAGGTTTATTATACAGTCCAAATGAGGGCTGTAATTGTCAAATAATCTCAGCTTCCGAAGATGTTAGCAAATTGAATTGTTAATGAATGTCATGAGAATGAGTAATTGCTTAGGGTACGTAGCCCTGCACAGCTTGCTTTGCAAATTTCGGTCTACAAAAGTTTAATGTACAGCCGCACGGCAAACCGAAACAGAACAAAAATGTCTCCCGCCCACTTTTGAGTTTCGTCCAAACGAAGTGTCACAACTGACAAAAGCAATAAAATAATTTCAAGAAAAATATTTTTCCATCGAAAAACAGCACGAAAAATTCTGTTGTGACATTTCGTGTGAATTTGAACGATATTGGGTGTGCGAAGTGCCGAAACGACGAGGGAGACTCCCTGGGTTGCCGTGAGCGGTTACTGTACATAAAGGTGGTCACATAAGAGTTTAACCCAACGCCCGTTTTTCGAAATCGGTGCTCAAAGTCTTAAGTCTGCACCGAAGCCCTAAGTCGGCACCGAGTTTCGGAATTCGGTGCAGGGTTTCGGGGGAACGGTTGACCCAGGATTTTCTGCAAGATTTTTTTTTGTTTTTCGCCAATGTTCAAGATATATTTTCTGAATGAAGACCAGATAGAATTTGTCCAAAAAGGGAACCAAGAGCAGGCTGCCCCGTTCGATTTGATGTCTAGATTTCCCGTTTTCTGCTCGGATAAAGCACCAAATTTTGGAATGTTGTGATGTTTGTTGTACCATGGTTAATATTAGTTTTATTTCTTATTTTTTTGTGCAAACTTGCCGAAAAATGGACAGATATAGGTTTAGGACTGGCCACTAGGTTAATTATACCATGAAAATAGTTTGCAGTATACAATTTTAGGCGGTTACAATACGTATATGAACGAAAGTTACTTTGCAACATGTATTTATTATTATCTGGTAAGCAACAAAAGTTACTTTCCGCCGAAAAATCCGAAGAAGAAGGACAAATTGCAGAACCTGCATGGGCCAGGCCGTGGAGCTGGACCCGGAACTGGACTGGTGCTTGGTGGAGCCGGACTGGTGCTTGGTGGAGCCGGAGTGGTGCTTGGTGGAGCCGGAGTGGAGCTTGGTGGAGCCGGAGTGGTGCTTGGCGGAGCCGGAGTCGAAGCGTTTACTCTGGTGTGACTGTGGAACAGGTCCGTCTTGGCGATCGCCGGAATCAAGAACATCGGCTTACGGTACTCGTCCGTAGTCCATGGCGATTCATCGTCAATATAGAAGTCGGCGTTCGAAATGTGATCGTAGATGAAGTAAGAGCATCGATCTCCGCCGTCGCCTTCGCATTGGAAGTTGCTGTCGCAGCAGAAGCCATACACAGTCAAATTGTTGGTATGGTAAATCGGGTTGGCGCGGGGAACCACAAATGTGTTGTCGTTGTCAAGATCGTCCACACAGTATTTCTCTTGACTTTTATTTTGACTCTGGAAAGTTGAGAGGCTTCACAGAGGGCAGAAAAGTTGAAGATTTAAATATGCATAGATTAAACTTGGCAAAAATCGCCAGTGTTTCTCAATTTCAAAGCGTCACGCTTCGATAGCACTCTTCTTTACACTTACATCCTTCCAGCAAGCCGGCACCATGTCCCTTACGGCTTTTGGAAGCTCTGCATCGGTGAGGTCCGCCACTTTGACAACTGGCAACGAGCGTTGACCACAGACGAGAGTGTCCAATCGAACGGCATCCTCGGGTCCAAGACTCAAGTAGTTTCCCATCACATATACGTGAGGCCGGTTTCTGATATCCGACCAGCCCGGAATGGCATACGCGCAGTGTGAGCCGCTGAAGACATTAGAATCATATACTGGTGAATACATAATACAGTAAGAAACATACATACTTACTTTTTTAGAGAGAAGACTTTGATTTGCTTGGTGTCGGCTACTTCGTAAAGGATGTCGCCGTAGACTCCGTCACCCGCTTTGGATGGGAAGAATACCAATGGGTAGGGCGACTGCAAAACAAACAATTGATATCTCTCGTTTTTCTATCCTCAGACTTACGGATGAAACCTGAGTCTCCTTTGAAATCGATGCAAAACTCTCGTTACGGCTTACTGAAATTAGACAAGTTTAGGACACTCATAGATACCGTCAAATCAATTCAATGTAAATCTGAGCTTACAGGCCCCGATTTTAAAGTATGTCCTTCCAGGAACTTCCGACATGACAATAAAATTATCAAAATCATCGGGTCTCAACTTGTTGTAGATTCTATCCGGATGAACCTTCTTGATATTCTCCAACACATTGCTAGATGGACGATATCCAAGAGTACAGTAGAACAGAAACGAAAAAGACACGATTACCGGTAGGGTCCTCATCTTTGTCGATATAATTTAATTAACGATACATTTGCTTTTATTGCAAATTTCAAGTCAGCATTTACATTATACAATCCAAATTGTCAAGTAATTCCAGCTTTCGAAGATGTTAGCAAACTGAATTTTTAATGAATGTCATGAGAATGAATAATTGTTTAGGGTACGTAGCCCTGCACAGCTTGCTTTGCAAATTCAGGCTTACAGAAATTTCATTGTGGTGGACGCAACGGGGAATTGCAAAAGCAACATAAAAACAGTTACAGGCGGGACCAAAGCCTGGCGCCGATGTTGCGGTCGGATCGATGACAGGTGGAGCCGGCGTTGAAGCCAGATCTCTTAGCGCCAGAGCCATGAAGATTGGTTTTTTGAACGCATCAGTTGTCCATGATAATCCGCAATGGGCTTATCTCTGAATATTTAAAGCTTGCCCAAAATGATCTCCTGTAACGTAGTGGAGATCTGTGCATCCAATCACAAATTACGAATAAGCGTATTCGTTATAAAACAGGACCGCTATCGCCTGAGGCGACAGAGGTTTGAAACACCTTTCTGTAAAACCAATATAGGACAAAAAACATTTAAATTTCGTGCCAGTACTGTGTCTAACCAATCCTAACCGATTCCCCACCGAACCGGACGATCATGGCGCACAGGCAATTTGTCTAGCGCAATAAAGTTGAAAGTTGAAAAAAAAAAGTTATAAGCAGTTGAAGTTCTGCTTGGCCTAAAATTTTGCACTAACAAAACATTGATTAGTTTTTCGCGCTGCAAACATTCCTCATTAAAATAAACAATTTATTAAATTTTATTCTCAGTTAATTTCCGGAATTTCCACCAAAGAAGCCAGCGAAGAAAAAGAAGAAGTTGCAACAATATCCGCAACCTGGGGCGGGCGTTGTGACCACAGTTGGAGTCGGTGTGCTCGCATGTCTTCTGGTGACGTTCTGGAACTTGTCGTTCTTGTAAATGTACGGAATCAAAAAGTAGGGCTTCTTCACGGAGTCGGTTGTCCAGTCCGAATCGTCGTCAATGTACCAATCAGCGCCATTATAGTGATCGTAGATGAAATACGAGCATCTGTCTCCACCATCGCCATCGCACTTGTTGTTGGCATCGCAGCAGAACCCGTACACAGTCAGGTTGTCGGTGTGGTAAATGGGGTTGGCGCGGGGGACTTGAATGGTTTGATCGATGTCGATGTCGTTCACACAGTAAACATCGTCGGTGCGGTTGCTCTAAAAATTTGAGGATTTGAAGGCTACAAGATTTGCAAAGAATTTACGGCGCAGGCTTGTTCATGACCTACCCAGCATTTAGGAACCATGTCTTTGATTTTTTTCGAAAGCTCTGAATCAGGGATGTCCCTAACCTTGACGACCGGGAGGCTCTGTCCCGAGTGACTACAGTTCAGCGTGTCCAATCTGACCGCATCCTCTGGTCCCAAACTCAAGTAGTTCTTTCCCATCAGATAGACATGGGGTCTATTTCTGATGTCTGGCCAGGTGGGGATGTCCCAACCACAAACTCGGCCGCTGCAATCGTATATAAGCACATGTTCAAGGCCACTTACGTCGCCGAATTGAAGATCTTGATCTTTTTGCTATTCGCGACTTCATAGAGAATGTTGCCGTATTCCGCGTCCCCAGCTTTGGCGGGGAAGTAGACCAACGGGTAGGGCATGTTCTACAAAATTGATTTTATAGAACTTCCCCGCAATGTAAAGCGTTGTTTATGCTCCACTTACATTCGGGACTCCGACATCCTTCTTTTTCGCATTGTAGCTTTCGTTGACATTCACTGAAACACCTATAAGAAGCGATTAGTCAGCCTTACATCTGGCGATTGTGTAGTTCGGATCACCGTCGATTTTCCCCACCGCAATGTATTCGTGGAAATCGCCGGGTGTCAAAACATTGAACACTCTGTTCGGATACCTCTTCTTGATATTTTCCAGCACACTGCTCGATTTCCGGTCGGCCAATGTACAGTACAACAGGGAGATTGAACAGATTAGACGGAGGAGTCTCATTCTTTCGAAAATGTGATTCAACTAACTGATACCACGATTATATACAAATTTGATTTCGGTGTTGTTAGTATGCAAACATGGCCGTTTTAATTGCTTCGTCAGTAATTAAATTTGTGGATGAATGTGCTGGAATTGCATCTTGTGATCGACAGGATCATTTCAATTAACACAAACGTAGGCGGTTATCCACATAACCTACCGTTTACACGTAGCTGCGAGAGAGATTATTATTGGATACATAGACCGTATGAAACCTTCTCCCTTTTTATGCTTTCCTCTGTTTTGGGCAGGTACTGTAGAATCCAGCGGTTTGGTGCATTGAAAACTTTATTCAGAAGAACACGCGTCTGTATGTTGTTGTGTCCCGAAGCAGGAACTACGATTACTGTATTGGCATTCCGTTTATTTCGAAGCTTCTCGAAGCTTGGAAGAGAAATAGGGTTTCAGTTGTTATTTTCATTCAGTAAATATTTGGCGTTACGCTACGTATTGTTGCTTTTATCTGATAATAAATTTATATTTATTATCTTTCTACATCTGGCTGACCTCGTATCTTCACCACCACCAGTCAGGACAAAACATATGTGAAGCCTACAATACGAGGCAACTGGTGGAAATCGAGGCGCAAATTAATAATCCATGCATTTTCTGGGGTTTACTCAGAGACAAAAAGGAACAAACACAATTAAAGATAAATCATGTTTTTTTTAATTCCACATCAGCTTATTGTTAGCCAAAGAAACCGCCAAAAATTAATGCAAAGTTTTGGCATGACGGACAGGGGCAACATGGGCTCTTCGTTTCATTGTCGGCAGTTGCGTTGGTAACCGTAGGAGAAGCCGTTTTGTCTGTTCCTTTTGTGGTAAGCGGAGTTGTTGGTTTAGTGGTAAGAGTAGTTGGTCTGGTGGTGGTGGTAGTAATAGTGGTAGCAGTGGTAGTAGTAGTGGTAGTTGTCGTTGTTGTGGTCGTAGTCGTGGTAGTAGTAGTGGTAGTTGTCGTTGTTGTTGTTGTAAACGACTTTCTCCGTTCTATGAAAGGATCGTTCCCGACAATAAGTGGCATAAGAAATACTGGATTTCGTGTGGTGTCTGTGGTCCATTCAATCCCGTCTCTGATAACAAAGTCAATTCTAAACAAAGTCAGAGCTTAAGATCGCACAATTACCCGGTCAAGGAATCGTAAACGACGTATACACAGCGGTGATCTCCTGCATCATAACAGTCGTAGGCTTCGCAACAAAATGCGTATACAGTCAGATCACCCATTTTATACACAGGTCTTTCCCTTGGCACTAAGGTCAATTTACCGATTTCTCCGCTGTCGACCTGGTTCGTGCAATAGAGTGACGTGTTTGAGTTTTTCTACAAAATTTTCTGAGCACGAGGTAACTTACCCAGCACTGATTTTGTATGTCGGATACGCCGGGTAGGCGGACGCGGCCTTCTTCCGGTATTCGGGCGAAATTAACAACGGGCAAAGGCGGAACACTTGCATCACAATGGTTAATAAGATCCGAGATCCGGACGAACGTATCAAAGCCCAGGCTCACGTAGTCGCCCATTATGAAGGAGTGCGCTCTGTTACGGTCATTTTTCCAACCTGGGATATAAGCCCATGTACAGATTTGTCCACTGCAAAGGCAAAGGTTCAACTAGGGAAATATATAGCCAAAATGTAAAGATATTTGAAAGTGTGCACAGTGCAAAAATTATATATATATATACATAGACGAATAACAAATTTGTAACCTTGTTATACCCAAGCTGTGTGAGTCATTGTAACTTTCATGGTTTTCAATAGAAATGTGTTATATTTGGCGGTAAACGCATCAGTGTATGTAGTCGAAATGATGTGCCGAAAATGTATTTCAAGAAATTTGCACAATTTGGAAAAAGTTGAAAAAACCAAACTTCCGAGTCGACCAGAAAGTTCCTCACAACTTGGGCCCAACGGTCTACCTGAGCGGAAATCTGCCGTTTTCCAATTCAGGGACAAGACAGGCCAGGTTACGTTTGAAAAGCTTGCCCGGAGGGTTCCCGGCCGTTTGATTGAAGCCTCAGGAAACGTGAATAAACATTAGTTATTGCTATTCTGTGTTTTGACTAGGCTAGACAAAGAAAAGTACGAAAATTTGGTTTTTCTGCATCTGTCTTCCAAAACACGGAAAACTTTAAAACAAAACCCTTGGCACATCATTTCTCAATATCACACATCTTATATTGGCACCCACAAAAGTAAGAATCATTTTCTAAAGTGCGGTTGTAATTCTGCAAGAGGAGGGGTTTCCCTACGGAAACCCCTCCTCTTGCAGATGACACCTAAACTGACTTACGTCGAAATTACATATAACTTTAGACGCTTTTCCGCGGCAATCTCAAAAATGTAGTCCGAATATTTCATCTCTCTCATCATCGGATAAAACATCAACGCCTGTCCTCCCTGAAGTTAGTTTTCGGCAGGCACGCGGGTGGTACTTACGGGCGGGTGATAGATGTCCAGAGGTGTCGACATGGCGTCAAAGCTTTGAGATTTATGTACTGAAACATTTACAAACTAAGCGCACGCCTACCTCTTAATATATGCATTTTGTGTGGGTCATTCGGTACCTGTTTGATCACAAGATAAGTCGAAAAGTCGCCAGCTTGAATCTCCTCGTATCTACGCTCGGGGTGGGCACGCTTCAGGTTCTCGATGACACTATCCGAACCCCTATATCCCTGGGCCACGGAAACAATACAAGAAAGCAAGATTAAGAGCAGCGCCATTATTTTTCAGAAGCGACTGTAATAGATTGGGAAACTGACAGTTGTTATTTATATATACATATTTTTCCAATCGACAAATTAATTTGTAACATTAAGGAGGCTAATTGCTCTTGTGAGTTTTTTCAAAAAAAAAACGCTTTAAACATGAATGTAAATGGTTATATTACATTCATGTAGCCACAGGATGATGCAGGGTCATACGATCAGAATCTGTTCGATTGAAAATTTGGTTTATATGCAAAAATTGTGTGTGAAACCTTATACGTTTGCAATTAGGCCTTCAATATACAACGATTCTAATTTGAAAATAATGCAAATTTAATTAGATTAATCAAAATGGAGTTTGATTTACATAGTTTATCCGCCAAAGCAGGCTCCAAATAAAAATGCAAACGGTCCGCAGCAATTTCAGGCAGCTAATGGAATTGGGGTTTAGTAACCGCTGTAGCTCTCGGCAGAAAACTCAGAGCTGTTGACGCTGGCGTTCTTGGAGACGCAGTTAGAGATAACGTTGAAGAACTGGTTGTAGTTGGGGACACAGTGCCGTGCTGTGCGCGAATCCAGTCGTAAACTGCCGTTTTAATTGCTTTGTCAAATTTGTGGATGAATGTGCTGGAATTGCATATTAAGATTGTCAGGATCATTTCGATTAATACAAACGTAGGCGGTGATCTACATGCGTAAGCTACAGTATACACGTAGCTGCGAGAGAGATTATTATAGGATACATATACCGTATGAAACCATAACCCTAGGACCCTGAGCTCTCAGTCGCTTCAAACCTTGTATTTATGTAGAATCCAGAGGTGGGTGCATTCAATACTTTATTCAGGAGAACACGCATCTGTATGTGAAGCCTACAATATACAAGCTAACTGGTGGAAATCGAAGCGCGAATCTCACTTTATCCTGCCGCACGGGGTTGCGATTGATTACGCGCCGCAACACCCCTTTGAACTCAAAAAATCGTTGAATATCTCAGATGCGGTTGGAAAGCGTGATAAAATTGCCAGTTTTTGCCGTATCCGAAGGAAACCTTTGAATTTTTTTTGCGTCAATAATATTTAATAATCCAATTTTGTGGCGTTTACTCAGAGACAAAAAGGAGCAAGCATAATCAGTGATAAATCATGTTTTTTTCAATTCCACATCAGCTTGTTGCTAGCCAAAGAAGCCGCCAAAAAATAATGCAAAGTTTTGGCATGACGGACAGGGACAACATGGGTTCTTCGTTTCATTTGCGGCAGTTGTGCTGGTAACCGGAGGGGAAGTCGTTTTATCTGTTCCTTTTGTGGTAAGCGGAGTTGTTGGTTTAGTGGTGGTGGTGGTGGTGGTAGTAGTAGTAGTGGTAGTAGTCGTTGCTGTGGTCGGAGTTGTTGTGGTTGGAGTTGTAGTTGGGGGCACGGTGCTGTACTGCTCGCGAATCCTGTTGAATTTGTCGTTTTTATCAATGGCCGGGACCAAAAACGTCGGGTCTTTATAGCTGTCCGCATTCCAAGCGCTTTGATCGTCGATGTAGTAGTCAACTCTAGAATGACGTGTCAGATTGAAAGAGTTCTTACCCAGAGACATGATCATAGATAAAGGACGAACAGCGAGTGCCAGCCGCGTCACAATCGTTATTCCACCCGCAGCAATACAAGTAAACGGTTGCATTTTGCGCATGGAAATCGGGTTCTTGCGATAAACGACGATGGTTTTCTCATGGTCCAGATCGTCAACGCAATACTTGTCATCGTTATTGAGGTCCTGAAAACAAACGGCGGCATGTATGGGTGATACTAACAGAGCGGTAAAATTGCCAAAAGTGCATTATTTTTAGCGCAAATTTCTGTTTATGAACATACCCAGCAAACCTTCTGCATGTCGCTGATTTCACTGGCAATCTCCGACGTTGGGATGCTGCTAAACTGAACCACCGGCAACATTCCCATCCGTCCACCTTGAGGTGGGCATTGCAAGTCCGTAAGCTTCACCGCCTCGGTCGGACTGACGCTCAAGTAATGCCCAGTAATGTACATGTGCGCTCGATAGTCCGCTTTGTAATTGGGGATATCGTAGACGCACATCTTGCCGCTAAAACATTTACAAATCTTTTGCAATCGACAACGTGGTGTTTAAAAGAGAGTTTTTTACAAATTGAAGCTTCTCATAACAAGGGCCGGACATTTCGAAAAAACGACCGACTCAGAATCTTTTGATATTTTGCATAGTTGATGTACTATGATAGCTGAACGTCAACACGAATTTTTAGTTTCGGAAATTACCGTATACGGCCGTTACGGTAGGTACAATTTTTAGAAAGATTGGGTTCGTATGTAAAAACCTTAAGGAGTAAAGGCACAAAACCTCGCCGTTATACGTTTTTGACCATGGGGAACATTTTCATAATTGACAACTTTGCCGTAGGATGTTGCCTTCGACTACTTTGAAAAATACCAAGGTACCATATTGAATGTAACTTTTTTGCAGAGAACTTGTCTCAACTTTTGAAACCTCTCAAAAATACGTTGACATGTATGGAACAACATATCAAAAATTTAGAAAAATAAAAGGGGGGGGTTTTGGAGTTACGGTACTTTGAATGTTGCCGGTACGGTATATCAAAAAATTATTTTTTTCAAAATCGGTGTAGAAGACCCGCAAAAATTGCCAAAACACGTTTTCGACCATGGCGAACATTTTTGTAATTGACACTTTTTTTGTAGGATGTAGTCTTCGCCTACTTCGAAAATGACCCAGATACCATGTGTAATGTAACTTTTCGGCATTCTACTTGTCTCAACTTTTGAAAACTCAGAAAAATACGTTGACATGTACGGAACAACATATCAAAAATTTAGAAAAATAAAAGGGGGGGGGTTGGAGTTACGGTACTTTGAATGTTGCAGGTACGGTATATCAAAAAATCATTTTTTTCGAAATGGGTGTAGAAGACCCGCAAACATTGCTAAAATACGTTTTCGACCATGGCAAACATTTTTCTAATTGACAGTTTTGTTCTAGGATGCAGCCTTCGACCGGTTTGAGAAATGTCAAGATACCATGTTCAATACAGTGCGCGACAAAATTATAACCGCACTTTAGAAATTGCTGTAACTTTTTTGGTTGTCAATAGAAATGTGTCATATTTGGCTTCAATATGCACTAGTGTCTTACGAACCATGTGCTAAAAAATTATTTCGGGAAATTTCCCAAATTTGGAAAAAATTGAAAAAACAAAAATTTTGATTGTTTTCTTTGCGACAAAATTATAACCGCACTTACGAATTTGGTCAATTAGCCTAACTAAATCACTGAATAACAATAACTAATGTTTAGTTACGTTGCCTTAGGCTTAAATAACGTCGATTAAATAGCTGGGAATACTCTGGGCAAGCTTTTTTAACCTCTTCTGGCTAATATTGCGCCAGAATTGGAAAAGAGCCTCTTTGAGCTCGGCTACGGTAAAATACTGCCTGTTCTTGCAGTGTAATTCACGAACCAGAATGCCCCACACGTTATCCATCAGATTTAAGTCAAAGGAGCATGCAGCCAAGTCCAGGGTAGCAATTCTTTGCTTTTCAAGGAACTGCTTTGTCGACCAGCTAAGGTGGATGCGGTCATTGTCCTGCATTAACGTGTAGCCTGGTTCCCAATACGGCACCAGATGCTTGCCAAAGACCTCCTGATACTCCTGTCTATTCATTTGAATTGATGCGGATGCCAACGGAAGCACTCCGGTTTCTTCGAAGTCACCCCAAGTCATCAACGAACCACCTCCAGCATTAAGGTGCGAGAGGTAGCGCTGTTCTCTTCTGATTTTATGCCAGTTATATGTGTAATGTGTGAAACCGTCAGGGGTATCGGTTGGCTGTAGAATCTCCAAGGAATTCGTTTCTGTAACGGCGTGATTCTGACCTTTGACTAATCAAACAATTCTGTCAAGGTCACCTTGGCAAATCTCGGCCGCGCACTGCAGTGAACCCGGGCCAGCTGGGATCACAACTTCATGTGACGCCCTGATGACATCACTGTGTCTTACAACCCTTAGCATAGCTTTCCTGCTACAGTTGAGGCCTATTTCTTATTTTATATGAGACCAAAGGATGGTGGAGTTGGAAGCTCGGCGGATATACCTGCCTTTGCTCTGCTGCAGCGGCACACCTTTTCTACCAGAACGTTTAGATGTGTCATAGGCTTCTGCGTTAGTCAGTTAGCTACTGGTAAACTCTGCCCGAACGGCGTACCTGAGCCGAAATCCCTCGTTTTCCGATTCTGGCACAATATTAGCCACAAGAGGTTAAAACGCTAGCCCAGAGTATTCCCGGCTATTTAAATGACGTTATTGAAACCTCAGGAAACGTAGCTAAACATTAGTTCTTGTAATTCAGTGGTTTAATTAGGGCAATTAGCCAAATCCGTAAGTGCGGTTATAATTTTGTCGCAAAGAAAATCACCAAAATTTTGGTTTTTTCAACTTTTTTCCAAATTGGGAAAATTTACCAAAATGATATTTTGGCACATGATTTGTAGCATACTAGTGCATACTGGTGCCAAATATGACATATTTCTATTGGCAACCAACAAAGTTACAGTAATTTCTAAAGTGCGGTTATAATTTTGTCGCGCACTGTATAACTTTCCGGCATTCAACTTGTCTCAACTTTTGAAACCTTTCAAAAACGCCTTGACATATGTGTAACAACATATCAAAAATTTAGGAAAATAAAAGGGGGGGGGTTTTGGAGTTATAGCACTTTGAATGTTGGACATACAGTACACCAAACTTTTTCTGTGATGCTGACATCCGATATTGATAGATTCCACCGTCGTATGGCACACACGTCTCTAAACCGTGTCAGTTGTTACAAAAAAATTGAGAAATCACTGATCTTGCTGTTACAGTAACCAGTCATCTGTGCACGATATGTTACAGTATGCTTAGGTCTAGTTTTTTTGATTTTTTTTGTGAAAATAGTTTGTGAGGGTCGTACAACATAGATAAAACATTACATTTTGTTTTTAAAATAATCTACGTAAAGTTAAGCCGAGAATAAATCGAGGTGTACTGTATGTCCAACATTCAAAGTGCTATAACTCCAAAACCCCCCCCCCCTTTTATTTTCCTAAATTTTTGATATGTTGTTGCACATATGTCAAGGTGTTTTTGAAAGGTTTCAAAAGTTGAGACAAGTTGAATGCCGGAAAGTTATATTGAACATGGTATCTTGACATTTCTCAAACCGGTCGAAGGCTGCATCCTAGAACAAAACTGTCAATTACAAAAATGTTTGCCATGGTCGAAAACGTATTTTAGCAATGTTTGCGGGTCTTCTACACCCATTTCGAAAAAAATGATTTTTTGATATACCGTACCGGCAACATTCAAAGTACCGTAACTCCAAAACCCCCCCCCTTTTATTTTTCTAAATTTTTGATATGTTGTTCCATACATGTCAACGTATTTTTGAGAGGTTTCAAAAGTTGAGACAAGTTCTCTGCAAAAAAGTTACATTCAATATGGTACCTTGGTATTTTTCAAAGTAGTCGAAGGCAACATCCTACGGCAAAGTTGTCAATTATGAAAATGTTCCCCATGGTCAAAAACGTAAAACGGCGAGGTTTTGTGCCTTTACTCCTTAAGGTTTTTACATACGAACCCAATCTTTCTAAAAATTGTACCTACCGTAACCCCCGTATACGGTAATTTCCGAACCTAAAAATTTGTGCTGACGTTCAGCTATCATAGTACATCAACTATGCAAAATATCAAAAGATTCTGAGTCGGTCGTTTTTTCGAAATGTCCGGGCCATCCTTAGATTTGTAAAAAACTCTCTTTTAAACAATAAAGAAGATATTTTACCCCTTTAATGGCCAAATTTTTACTGCTCCATATTGCGCGACTTCATAGAGGACATCGCCGTATCTCTCGTTTGCCGCTTTTTGCGGGAAAAACATCAATGGCCATGTATACTAAAAAGCTTTCTAAACCAAATTGCACCTACATTTGCTAGGCAATCGATGGTATACGAAACTGCGGCCAAGCTGTCGCGGCGATTGACTGAAGAGCAATTTTAAGATACGTTACGTACCGAACATTTATATATTACAGTATTATAATTCAGTAGCTCCTCATAAAAAAGCATACAAATTCCGATTCGTGACCAGTCTTCGCCCTTGACCCGAGCTACAGCAATATAACGTTCAAAATTGTCAGCCTCGAGCCTCTCAAAGTTCCTTTTCGGATACTGTTTCTTTATGTTCCGCAACAGATCATCCGATGTTAGTGAGCCTAATCCAAAGCGCGCTAACAACAGGAAGATAGCCGCAGTATACATCTTCAAACGCATAAATGACATGAAACAATCTATGCATTGTGTTATTTATAATTCAGAAGCTTAATTAAATGTACCGGTTGATTAGAAAATAATGCAAATTTAGCAAATTTAATCAAAATATAAACCCCAGACTTCCGACCTCCACTATTAAGCAATCATGCGGTGTCAACTGCTCCTCTGCCTTCTTGTAGCTGCACTGTGTTCTGTCAGTGGTTATCGCTCATCCCAAAATGTCTTGGAGAACATCAAAAAGGTCTATCCCAATCGTAACTATGTCCCGCTAAATGCCGACGACTTTGAGAAGTACATAGCAATCGCTCCGGGAAATGGAACCGGCTTCTACCATATTGCAATGCGTAAGTTGTAATTGGGGCCTAGAAAATATTGTTTTATAATATTTGCTTTGTCTGAGCACTTGTAATTCCAGTCAGAAGGAACGAGAGCTTCCAAGAAGTTGCCAAACAGACGAAATATCCTTATGTAAGTCTACAGCAGGGCGTCGCGACTTTTGAGGGCAACATGCAGCCGACATTTACCGATCACAATTACGATTTTTGTACTTTTTAGATCGAAGCACAGCCGAACGCATTGGTATTCTTCCCCTCAAAAGAGTCTAATGAAAAGTTTGGCGACATTCTGTACGAGATTGCCGACTCCAAAGAGCTGAAGACATACAACACGGCAACGTAAGTGCAACACCCTACACGTCAATCCAGCCCATTTCCTGAACCGTTTCGAAACTTCGTATCGTTTTCATGACATTTCTTGAACGAATCACCAAAAAGGGGCGGGAATTTTTTCTTCTATTTTGGATTGACGTGCCCTAGCATTGATGACAGGCTCCATTTGTAGCGGCGAAGTTTGTGCGTACAAGCTGAACTGGGAGAACATGACATACCGGCCTCATGTGTACGTAATGGGGAAGTACATGAGTATCGGCCCTGAGGACGTGGTCAGACTTGACAATCTTCACTGCGGCGATCAAGATGCGCCAATCATAAGGTTTGATGACATTCCACCCAACGAAATCAGCAAAGATATTGGAGATATGAAGAAGGTTTGCTGGGTAAGCACTTTTGTAATTTAAACAGAAAGTGATCAATTTTCGGACCTTACACGACTACCAATTACATTTTTCAGGACCTCGAAAAAGATGACCAATACTGTGTCGATGATCTGGATGCCGACAAAACAATTTTGGTCAAAAGAAGAAACCCAATTTATCACACAAAAGACGCCACTATTTATGCCTTCTGTTGCGATGCGAATCAAAATTGCGACAAGCCAGAATTAAATCCCCGCTGCTCCTATTTCATCTACGATCATGCCTCCGGGTAAGACTTTAGAATTCAACTCCAACAGTCGTGAAATAAAAGCAAAAATCGTCGTTTTACAGAGTCGACTACTACATTGACGATCAAATGGCGTGGACTACGGACTCGGAAAAGAAACCCGTCTTCCTGATTCCCGCCATCGACAAGAACGACAAGTTCAATCGTAGACGCAAGAATTTTACCACGCTCGCCCCATCTACCAGCTCTACGAAGCCTCAAACCCCATTTACCATCTCCCTGAAGACTAAACCTCCGTGCAACCCTTGCTCGCCATTTGGATTCTTCTTCGGCGGTTTCTTTGGTTAATTTGGTTATGAAATCTATGCAAATTAAAGGGCAATAAATGTCAAGAAAAATTAGCCGAAATTCTGCAGTCAAAACTACAGTAGATTTGATTGTCATCCTGCTGCTACTGTCGTTAATCGTGGCCCGAGGAAAACCCAGTTATTTGAATGAATAATACATACAAAGACCAATGCAATTTTATTTTTTTTTACTAATTAACCAACCCAAGAAAAAGAAGCTCCACAGCACGTCAATCCAGCGTAGTTGAAAGTTACTTTTGCCCAAGATATAGTCAATGTGGCGTTTCGTCACAACCAGTTTTTCGGAGAAAACCTTTGGCCGTGTTTTGACGTGCACAGCCCGCAGCAACATTCACGATCTGAATCTCTGTATAATAGATGGATCTTCAAAGCGTAGTGGGAAATTGAGACCCCGGAAATTGTGCGTTTTAGAGAGAAGCGGAAGTTTTTTGTGCAAAGATTTGGTTGTAATACTATAGCAAATTTACCTGTCAAAAATATCGATATATTTATAACACAATGGAACGACTGTTCAACGCCGAGATAATGGGATGTTGGTGGTTGCTTGAGGCTTTGCCATGGCTTGCGCTTCCAAGGTTTCGACTTTGGCCAAAAGTTTGGCAATGGTTTGTTCCATACCTGAGATAGTCCTTTGTTTTTCCATGATGAGTTTCCACTCATTTTTCCATGATGAGTGTCATTGGTAGAGTTAGGGGGTTGGATCAGAGAGTTGTTCGACATTTTCGGAGATGAAAAAGCAGAAACCGACCGCTCAGCAGAAGCAGAAAAAATCTGCTGTCGATGAATTTTTAGGTACCTTGAATTTTGTTGTACAGACAATAGAATCCATTTTTATATTTTTCCAATTGTGAAATCTGTTTTGTGGCGTGATCGTAAACCCAGATTGCCCTACAGTAATCACTCAACTCTTTTTTTCTGTCAATTGCTTTTCTGTTTTTCTCTCCTCTCTCTCTATAAACTCCTATTCTTTCTTCACCTTTTTCTGAACCCTTTCTTCCCTTTCTTTCCCGTCCAAAAACACATTCTCTTGTGTTTAGTGATAGCGTGGTCTCTTTTTTTTACAGAGACAGCCGCGGCTCCCCCCTCCCCTCTCCAAAACCACGTGAGGGTCTGGAGAAAGCGGGAAAATAATATTTTTCTCTCGGTCTTTCCCAATTTTTAGTAAATTAAAGATTTCTATTGCTTCTAAATTGTAAAAAAACTAATTATTGTAAAATAAACTAACAGATTACTATGGATTCAAGTGAGAGGAAAAAGGCGACACACCTGAGATGCGAGCGGCAACGGAGAGAGGCGATAAATGTGAGATTTTTTGATTATTTTTTGAGGATTTTAGGAGTTCAAGTGCGAAATAAAGTGTGGTAAAGATTGGAAATACTATTTTGAGTAGTTGCAAATGATAGTAGATTAATTAAAATTGTATTTCCAAAGATTTTAAGGTTGAATTTACCACTATTTTACATATTTCTTAATAAAAATCACAAAAAATTGTAATCCTACAACTTTCTTTGCTATTTTCTATAATTTTTCAATTAACTACGGCCCTCTAGAGTATGCTGATTATAGAAAAAGAGTATTTTTAACAGGATAATCATCTTTTTCAGACCGGTTACAGCGACCTGAAAGAGCTTCTCCCCCAATCGACCTCTTTTGCCGGCTGCAAAACAACAAACGCTTCGATATTATTCAGAGCCGCTGATTATGTCAAATCACTGGACGAGGCCATCGCTGAAAAGGAAAAACAGATCAACGGATACACCTCTCAACAAGCGGCCATGTGCATGATAATACAGCAGTATGAAAATATGGGAGCGGACAAACCTCAGCCAATGCAGATGCAAGTGGTAAGTCGATAGCAGCGGTGTTGAAATTGTCAAAATTGGGGCTAAAAAATTGTTTGGGGACAAGATATGACTATAAAAAATAAGCAACTCGATTTTTATGATGACTTTTGGATAAAATTGAATATTTGTTATCGAAGATCTTCTAAAACAGTAATTTTTTTAGATGGATAGTCTCTACATGTTATCATCTTGAGGCTAGATACCCCATCTGTATAGTAGAAACATTATAAATTACTTTTTTTTATTGTCTTAGACATCACCTAGTATAATATAAAAACCTTTGTTTTGATATCAAATCAAGCCTTATATTTGGTCTCAATACTTTCAATATACCCTAAATAATATTTACTTTCAGTTAAAAGCCTTCCTCGACGAATGTTTCAAATCGTTTTCGAAGGATGTCCAATTAACTGACTACCAAGCCCTTACAAAATCACTTTTAATGTGGGTCGAGAAAGTGCCATACGAAGAGATTCTACAGAAAATGCTGGAGCAGACAAAGTAACGGATTCGAACTTTACTTGTATGTACAAACAAATGTATTGGGCATATCATGACAGAGATTTAATAAATATAATATGTTCTAGCATGTTTCCTTGAAGTTTTTGATCAAAAAAATTTACAATTTAGAGGGGTGAATAGCTAATGGGCCGTCTAATTATCTGATTCGTCATTCTGTATACATTGGCCGGCCTAATTGGCAAGAAAAATTGGTTTAGAAGGCCCTTGATCCATCAGATGTTCAAGTGCAATATAATCTATATGAGAAACATTCAAAAAATTTGAATTAAACCGCAGAAGACATACAATAACACTGTGTCCAACCCTAATTTCTTAGTTTTTACAACTTTTGTAATCATTCTCTCATCAAGAGCAACACTTGTCACATTTACCACTATGCCGGGTCAACTCTTCTCCTTCCCAAGAAAAATCGCTGCAACTCAAAGATTCTTCAGACCAATTTGCAATGATCACTCGCCATTTCCGCCGCATCATTGATGCATCCTATTGTCCGCCTTGTTTCGCTTTAGTCGCATGTATGAATAATTTCTGGGAATTTTTTGTTTTTCTTTTGGACTTTCGCTGATTCGACTTTTTTCGTATCCAAATTGAGACGACTAAGCTATTATAGTGTTGGAATATGCCGCGACCACCTCCAGCCAGGTAAAGTTTAGGTTTTTATCCTACTTTGTTGGCTTTGAGCTGATTTTTTCAAATGCTTTGGATCTTGACCTAAAATAAGGTGAATCTGACTTCTTTTGTTCGCTGAGTGCTTGAAAATTGCGGCCTTTTGTGTGAAATAGCTATGTTTTGGTCCAAGGAACCGTTCCGCTGGAATGGTTTTCGGTTTAATACGATTTCAATGGTCAAATTGGAGCTGCTCCCTAGTGTAATATAATTTGATCTAAAAATTGCCGAATAATGGAAATTTTAGATGGCGATGGGTTTTATAATGCCGGATAGTGAGCTTGATTACTGTTTGGGTTTATCGTGGACTATAGTTTTCAGGGTTTTGCCGATTTTTTCTGATCCAAACTTTGATCAAGTATAATGTAATTTATGTTTCTTTCCGCGTTTTTGCAGGCATGTCCTTTTTTTGAAAGCTTGGTAGAATGTTTTAGCAGCTATTTGGTTGCCGTTCAATTAAAATTTGTTGTGTTTTGTTTTCTTTTTGGCATCTTTAATGTCTGATGTCAAGTGTAATGTGCTATGTTTCTGCTTTTTTATTATCTGAAGATTTTTTTGTTTTATTAGAACGTCTGTGGCTTGTACTTACTATTCTAGCCATTTTCATGCTTATTTGCGCCTATTTTACCTATTTTTTCCGTTTTTTGATCAAATGCCAAGAGTAACATAATTTTTCGTTGAACTACCTAAAACTCTAATGTTGTTGCATTTCAGGATGTGTTGTGGGTCGTTGATATGCAGCTGCCTGTGCTGTCGTTGTTGTCGGACAAACATTCACAGCGATGGGAAGAAGCACAAGTGCTGTAAACTGGACAAAAAGCTCGGAAAGAACCCAGGAAAGCCCATTGTGGTGCCATTGGTGCGACGGGCCATATACGCTCTTCCTGATCTGAGGTGGGGATTTTGAATTTGATTGGAATTCTCTTGAGTTTTAGTTCCCAAAAATTTTGATGTCTAATGCAATATAGGTCAAGAATACAGAGTATGTCTTGCGTATTCAGTGGTAATATTGCACAATAGTGTTATGTAATATCAACCAGGCTGGTAACTAGAGCGCCCCAAGTGTTTGGCGATGTTATAGTAGCCGTGCTCCTATAGTGTAGTGGTTTGGAGGCTTCTTGTCAATCCAAAGGTCCCGGGGTCGAATCCGCGTGGAGTAAAACGATAAAAAGTTTGCGTTTTTGTTGCGAAAACGTTGTAAAATAGTAAATAATTACGTTTCCTCGAAACTTTTAACAGAATTATAAATATAAAAGCTTCCAAACCTATAAATAATATCGAAAACATCAGTATACTACAATAAAATGTTAAAACTCTGTTAAAAACACCTGAGAACGCCTATTTTCTCTCTGTTTAATTCCCAGAACCGACTGTTTCCCGATTTGTAGGCTTACTCAGCTCTTGCAAAAAGAGAAACTCTCCAAATGACGGGTGGAAACAGGGCTGGGACAAAAAATCCCCGCTCTTTTACGGAATGAGACATTACTCATCGGTGTTGTTGTCAATTTTCCGCGAATTACACCCCGAATTCGGTGTGATGTTGCTGAGTAACGCGCCGGCCGCCAACTTTTTCGTTCGTTTATCGCTATAGCAAAAGTTTATCAGCCCTTTTCGACTATTTAAACCCCGATTGCTTTGTCTAAAATTTCATAAGTTGAGCTTCTCTGCTCCATTGATGGGGCCGCACCCTGTGGACAGCACTTTAGACGATATTTCCGGGCTGTTCATTCACAATCACATGAATCAGCGAGCGTTTTTTTGTGTTTAATATCACAAACATGATATTCTTCATGACTTTTTGATGTTTCCTCTTTCGTTTTACGACCAGAGAATCGAGTTTTCAACGGTGAATACGATGTTTTGGCCGGAATATTTCGTTACGATAACGAATATGTTGCATTGACTAAAAATTTTTGCATATTTTACGATTTTTGATGTTATTTTAGATCAAATGTAAAAATTTTTTGGTATTTCAGCGGCATGGACGTCCTCCAAATCATCCTCGACAACCCGAATGGCTGGTTTTATCCCGGCAACTTTGTCTCGGGCACCGTAATCCTTCGAACTTCCGAGCCGGTCAAAGCCCGCGCCGTGGAAGTCATCTTCCAAGGTAAAGCCAAAACCTCGTGGTATGTCAGCGAAAGTTATCGACAGTAAGTTTCTTTACTTTTTATTTTATCTTTCACGCCCGTTTTTGCCAGGGGTGGTCAGCGGACCCTATTTTTCCGATTTTCGGCCCGCGGCCCGGCCCGTCTAATTGACCGGCCCGGCCCGTCTAGTCTTTTTCCAGGCCCGGCCCGGCCCGGCCCGTGACGGGCCTGGCCCGGCCCGGCCCGGCCCGTGCAGGCCCGTCTATAGAGGGTTCTGCGAACTGCGCCCAGGCTCGGGATCTAAACTGAGGCAAAAAAGGCGTTGATCTAGCTAGTAAAGGATCAATGTGATAGCTTTGTGGTTCTATAATTGAACTATAGACTTGTAAACGTTTTAGAACTTGAGAAACAGCAACTATAACAACATCAATTAATTTTCCCGGCGCGAAAACAATGAATGCCAACGGTTTGGCATTGTATTTTAGACGGGCCGGGCCGGGCCGGAAAAAACCCCAGGCCCGCGGCCCGGCCCGGCCCGGCCCGTGACGGGCCCGGCCCGTGACGGGCCCGGCCCGTTTGTCAATTTCCATTTTTGAGGCCGGCCGGCCCGTTTGGGCCGGGCCGGGCCAGCCCGGCCCGCTGACCACCCCTGGTTTTTGCCACTTTTGATCTGAGAGAAACACTTGACCCAAAATGTGTCAAGTCTTCCCATTATTGTAAATGATGTTGAAATAATAAGAAATAATTTCAGTGAAGGAAAATTGCACACGGAGAACGTCCTGTACTCATCGGAAATCATGTACGTCAAGGAAAGCAAATGCGTTTGGGCTCCGCCGCCAGGACAAAAACACTTGCCAGTGGGCGAAATGAGATTTCCCTTCCAATTTCACATCCCTCCCAATGCTCCACCGACTTTTGAAGGTGAGTTTGGAAGTTTGGAGACTGCGGATGGCTAATTTTGAAGGTTTGAGTAGTTTTGGGTCCAAGAGAAACAGTTGACTCTTTGGGTCAAGTGTTGCCCTTGGTTGAATAACCAGGAAAATGGAGCTGGATTGTGATTTAGAAGTTTTGGGAGAGTAAAATACGACCTTGTTACTGTTCTTTCGATAAAAAAAAAATATATTTTGTTTTCGATTAGTCGAATTGTAAAAATAACATGATTTTTTCAGGTTCCTTTGGATTCATCCGCTACTTCATCAAAGCCAAAATCGACCGCCCGTGGAGGATCGACAACCGTCACCAAGTCGGATTCACCGTTCTTCCCCATTTTGATCTCAACTCTCTGCCTTATTCGGGATATCCATTGCTCCGAGATAGTCATCAAGAAATTGGATGTTGCTGCTTCAAACATGGTCGTCTTATGATCCGATTGATTGTCCAAAAGAGTGGATTTGTTCCAGGAGAATTGATCCCGGTTCGAGTGGAAATCCAGAATCATGCCAGCAAAGGGGTTAAGAAGATCCTTACCGAGGTGAGTTGGGAAGATTTATGAGAGTTGGGAGGTGTGGAAAAAATTGGTTATTGGTTTAGAAGGAATTTTGGCCAAGGGGGACACTTGACCCGAACTTTGGAAATTGGGTCAAGTGTTTCTCTCTGCTGATTTTGGTGGCGATTAATGGGGGAAATGAAGTTGTAATGGGTTTTTGATGAATTTTTGGGTCTTTTTGGTTTGAAAAAATTGTCTTTCCTCACTTTATTCAACCTTATTTTACTTCTAGGTCTACCAAATCCAACATTTCACCGCCGAACGCTGCTCCAATCGTGTCGTCTACGTTCCCCACATCCAACAGCACGCGAATATGCTGCAAAAGGAACACCGTCAAGTTGTTGCAACCACTCAAAAAACCTTCAACGAGCCTCGAGTCGGCAATTGGACCTTCGAAGATGTCCTCCAGTTGACGCCCGTCGTCCCGAGTTTCAATATTTGTCAGATCATCCAAGTCGATTACATCATCAAGGTCAGTGTGGTCACAACGAGCACGTTTTATTCGACTGTCGCGGCTGATGTCCCAATGCTGGTGGGCTCGATTCCGGTTAGAAATATGATTGCAATGCCTGCGGAGGGGATTCGAACCGGAGATACGCTGGTACCACCTCAACCGTCAGCTCCACCACCGGATTATGTTCCACAGGTAGGTTTTTTTGGGTCTTTTGAGGAATTTTTTTAAAGATTTGCGAAGAGTTTGGGGAAGAGGGGAAGACTTGACTCATTCTGGGAAGAGTTGACTTAAAAACGGATGGATTGGAATGTTCTATTCTGTTTTTGTTTTGGAAATATGAAGCTGTATTGTCATGGAGACCAGATTACATAATTTTTCTATGAATGAGACAAGTCTGCCGAATTTTGGGTCAAGTGTTCCTCGAGTTGACAACAGTTGAATATAAAGGTATTTTTCGTGTCATAAGACATTATTATGACGTGATAAGGCAGAAAATTTTGTACATACAATGATGGAGTTATATAAAATTTCATAAAGCTACGATTTCTCACATTTTTGGGTCAAGTCTTACCCTGGATATTTTTTTTCTCAATTGTCAAATAAATTTGTAAATTTTTGGCCATAATGTTTCATTTCCAGCTCATGCCAGCCCAAGTCACCTCTACCTTTGTCACCGATGACCCAACCAATGAGGAGAAGGCCCCAGATTACAAGCCTCAGTACTTCTTTTATCCACCAGCTGTCCCGGATAATTCGACTCCAAATCCAAGTGCACCAATCGGTGAAGGCGCTGAAATTGGTTTCAAAGAGGTACTCTAAGCGAGCACCGTGCACGGCGTTGTTGGTTTTGATGGTTTACACAAAATTTTGTCGATTTTTTGAATGTTTTTGGATGTGTTTTAGCATTTTTTGATGGTCTTGGTCTGAAATTTTGAATCTTTTGTTTTTAGTTGAGTGCGGTCTAGTCTAAAATTGCGAGTTGTTGGTCTGCTATTCTTTTTTTGAGGTGCTGAGATGCGAAAGTCTTTGATTGGTTCGAGATTTTTTGGGTTTGAGCACAGTTTTTATATTACACTTGGTCTAAAATATTGTCTTTTTTCTACAGAAGCCAATGGATAATGGAAATATGGTTGGAGCATTTGGTGAACAAGGGAATAAGATGAAAATTGGAAGCGGATTCGAAGAGTCTGATGCAATGAGAAGAGTGAAAAAAGCCTTGGAAGAAATGGAGATGACGGAGAAAAAGGATGATGAAAAAGAAGTGGAAGAAGAGAAAATTGAAGAGGAAATGGAAAAAGAAAGGCTTTTGGAGAAGGAAGAAGGTGATGGGAAGAAAGTGGAAGAAATTGGAAAGGACGAAGATCTCGAAATGATTGATGTCATGGATAATATAAACGAAGGTGAAGATTTGAAACAAGAGGACTTGATGGAGAAGAAGAGCCCTTCTAAAGATCCGTAAATGATTTTGGAAGGCTTTGGAGTAGCTGAAGTTCGAATGAGAGGTGTAAAAATCAAGTCAAGTACAAGGTCAAGGATAATATAATGGTGATTTTGGAAGCATTGATTTTTGAGTCGATGTATCCGATATGTTCCAAGTAGTAGCCCGGTACTTTCTGAACTAATCTGTTTTTATTTTTTGGTCCGAAATTTTCCAAAATTTATGTCTATTTATCGCTCATAACACATCCGTATTTTAGCACTGTTTTTTTAAATTTTTTGCATTTTTTTTAGGTTTTTTATACTATCAAGTACTTTCATGTGCCATTACAAACATTCCATTGCATTTTTGTAGCATCACTTTTTGTATCTAACCTATTTTAGAAAATCTTTTTTAGACTTGTTTTACTAACCCACCTGTGATATGTGAAAAATAATTTTTTGTTAACTTTTTCTTGTATAACAAGTGATATCAACTTGTTAACCTGTATAAACACATTGACAAGTATTTTTTAATGTATATCTTGCCTGGTTTTTGTATGTTGATAGTAATACATTATTCATTTATTACAAGATATTCCATTTTTTTTGAAAGCGGAACTCTGCGTTGATGTTTGAACTCAATGAGCCGTAAAATATCGGTTAAAAGGTGAACCTTGAACATGAGCGGGAGAGTTATGAAGTGAGGATTTTAAAAATTGCTGCTCATCACTTTTAAAGTGCAATTGAACTTGGAAAAGTGTTGTTACATGCATGGTTTTAATCCTGAAAATTGCCAAAACAAATTTTAATTTGAGGATCTATCTGAGCCGCCACAAAAAGCGATACTTGGAAAAAGATTTGCCGAATACTTTTAAGGAAGATTTTAACAGAGTTAGGGAGAAATTTACAATTCGATAAAAATTTTGAAGGCATACGAGGAGTTTAGCTCACGTTTTGAATAAAGAGAAATGCCCTTTTAGTAGGCTTTTTTTCCGAAAGAACAAATGTCTTCAAAAGAAACAGCTCCTTTTGGTCAGAGAGAGGATAAAAAGGGATGCATTTTATTGCCTCCAGGACGCATTGGGATGGATTTTTTGCCACAAAGCTGTGTCCGCAACATATGGGATAATCTAAGATGGGTTCCAGAGAGAGAGATTCAACAAGAATTTTTACACTGTACAAGGCTCACAATACGCTAAAATTTGGCAAGATACGAATAATTCTTGTCGCCCTAAAGTTTAAAACAAGTTTAATTCTTTTTTGGGCTCTGCGTGTTGCAGAACAAAAAATTTGATATTGGTGGTTGAGCCACACGGTCAAAAGAAATTTGAATCTACGGCCTTATATTTGAAAACTAGACTACAATTTCAAGCAATCAAAAACAAGCTTTTAGCCTATTTCATATTTTAAAATTGGCGCTCAAACAGTGACCTACTTTTATACGGTAAACTTCTGTAATCCAAATTTTTTCTTCGAAGGCCAACTCGAAGAATCATGTATCAAATAAAAGTCTCAAGTAAAATTAAAATTAGTGTCACAAAAATGTCCAAGGCCTTCCGCTAAATATCCGAAATTTAAATCCTAAAGAGCCTCTTCTTCACCTACCGTATCTTTGACCACGGCTCGCGGATAACTTGTCTTTGATACGAGCGAAGAAAACAGTGGTTTTCTGCAGCCCATCGTGTTGGAAAGTAATAAAAAGATTTTAAAAATCAACCAGATTGATGTCCGGGATGATACCAGCCGGCGCTTACTGTAATATTTTCCAGCCGATTAACCCCATTCTTCATTTTCGTTTTTGAAAATGAGCTCTTATTCCTACCTCACTTTTTGAGCCTTTGGTCATTCGTTTAATCCTCGGCTCTCTTTGCGTTCAACAAGTTTTTTACAAGAATATATAAAGACGTCGGAATGAGGGTAAACGAGGGCCCCGAAGGGAGGGCCTTGGCCACCGTAATTAGGCTGATTTTTGAGATTTTTCCACTTTTTTAATCTTGATTCTGACCACTTCTCCCACAAAATTGAGGAATATAAGCCATTTGTGAGAAGCCTTATTAGTTGCGTGATAATTTCTTAAGCCTACTACAGAAAGCTGTGAGAGATGAGAGCTCAAATCTAATTCAGATCATATTTATATAGCCCGGTTCAATCTCCCCGGCGGAGAGACGGGATCGCATACTTTTGGGTCCAGGGATTTTTTTCATAATATTTCGCTAAAGGAGGGAAATTTCAAGGGCTCCAAGTACCGCTAAGATGGTTTAGATGAACATGCAAGTTTGTCGAGAAGAAACTGCGTATTTTACTTTCTAAATTTAGTATTTTATACTGTAAATATTTTGATGACAGAGCCAAAAGGGTATCTTCGTATTTACAGCAAAGAAATTGAGGTTTTTTGAGCAACTTGTCATTCAAAATTCCCCCAAACTCCCGCACCATGTTAATAGTAGCCCCGACTGGCAGTACAGATCTTGTAACCGTCTTATCAACTCTATTATTCTCCTCCAAACACTTGAAAGTCATGGGGAATGTTGCTGAACTCGAGCCGGTTCCCAGCGCGATAGAAGAAACGAATCACTTCAGATGGTACCACTCGTGACCATTTCATACAGTGTGTGATGACTGTCGGGTCCTATTCTTTGAGTCTGTCGCGAAAATAGTGTGGATTTGTCGCACCAAAATGTGTCGCCTAGTCTCAGCCGCGCGCTCAATCTACAGTTTCTGCTAGCCGTCGCAAAGCGATGATGGGGGATTTCAAAACCCGGCGAATCAATGTTATTTTCCCGACAGACTGATACGTGTCCCATATGTTTTTGTTATCATTTTGATTAGGCTGTAATACAGTAATACTTCGATCACATACAATACAGTCAAATCTCTGCACAACAAATCCCTAGGAACCAAAAGAATATTCGTTATAGAGCAAGGATTTTTTTATTGCGCGGTAGTTCACTGTACAGAGTTTTGACTATGATCGCATATTTTACAGATATAAATAACTGCTGTATAACATTCCTGTATCTGCCAACTAAAGGAGTTCAAATTTATAATTTTTCAAATTGCACCAGGGCAACTTGCCAGACAGTTATCAGAATCTAAAAAAACAAAATGAAGACGGGAAAGGCAAGTTGATAATATAAATTGGACCAAAATATGTGGTTCTGATGACCGTGAACCTTCGAACCAACTTTTTTTAGAAATTTGTCTTCAAAAACAGCCCGCTATTACTCTGCACAGTGGGTGCGGTATTTGTTGGTGTGATTGTTGGCTTCATTATCAGACAATTCCAACCCCATCCAAATACGGTGGTTCTTCTTGGATTTCCGGGAGAAATTCTGATGAATCTGCTGAAACTGACAATCCTGCCGCTGATTGTTTGTTCGCTGATTGCTGGTGCGTTTGTAGAGACCTGATGGACCTGATCCAGTGGCAAAAAATTTACAATTTTACATCCGGGAAATACCACAAAATGTGGCAAAATTCCTCCCCTCCAAGTGAAAAAACTCCGATTTCAAAAGACTCTTTTTGTGAGGGAAAGGGCGCGCGCCTTCAAGACGGAGTTTTTTTTGTTGGAGAGTGCCACATTTTGCCACATTTTTTGATACTTCCCGGATGCAAAAATTATACGTTTTTTGCCACTGGATCATTTCCGTCGCTGTAAATTTAAAAATTGGGAAACAATAATGAAAATTTTTGATATTCAGGTATGGCTCAACTGGACCCCAAGCAGTCACGGAGGATGGTCTTCTTGTCAATGACGTACTTTCTGACAACGACGTTTATGGCTGTCATTGTAGGTTCAATCAGTATTTTTTGAATTGTTTGGAAGCATTGAATCCAATACTACCTTATAGTTAGCAAAATGATGACATAACAATAGATACCTTCTACAATTTTTCAGCTCGGAATCATCCTTGTTCTCACAATTCATCCGGGTGACCCGACTATTCGAAGAAACGCCGTTACCGGATCAACCACCAGGGCTATCAACACTGTTGACACATTTCTCGATATCATCAGGTAGCACTGCATTCATACACCTTGTATGATCTCGCTGTTTTAGAAACATGTTCCCAGAAAACATGATCAAAGCCGCTTTCGAGCAGACCCAAACCAAGTATGTCAAGGTGCGACCCAAAAGTATCAAACAAAATGATTCGCTGAACATACGAAAATGGAAGAATGGAGAGTTCGATTATATGAGGCCAGAGCTGGAGAACACCAGTGGGATGAATTGTCTGGGTAAGGAGGCGTTTTTAAAATACGTTGTAGGTCATTTTGCATTTGCAAAACATAAAATATTTGATTACAAATAGCGAAAGCTGCAATTTGGAATATGGCTTTTTAAAGGCTTCGCGAAAAACACGAAGATTTTGGCGTCTGATTTAAGCAAGTTGAGAGGCAGAAGATGAACACTCTGTTTTTTCATGTAGTACAGTATTTTTACAATTATTTTTTGACACTGATATGCATGGTAGGTTTATATGGTATGACAAAAACATTTTTCCTATGACCCTCTTTCATCAACCTCCACGTATCAGTATGTCGGGAAAATAACGAGCATTCTGTCGCACCGACAAAATCATTTTTTCTATGAGCCTTTCTCCTTACTTCAAAAAATATTGTAGTAACTTATCAGCGTGGAGAAAATAATGAGTGGAATACCGTTGAGCCAATCGCTTCGCTGAAGTGAAAAATTCTTAAAATTTGATGTACCCGCGACAAGTTTATTTCTGTCAGCGTGCCCATTATTTTCCCGATAGATTGATATAACAAAATACCTTATGTACATAGGCATTCCCCTATGAAAAGCGATTTTTTAAAATACGGTGATAACTTTTTTGCGTTGTGTTATCATACATTTTTCAGTATAAAAACAGCCTCTTCTTTCAGGAGTGATTGTGATGTCGATGGGCTTTGGCATCGTCCTCAGTATCCCGCGTTCCGAAACGAAGCCAGTCGTGGAGTTTTTCAAAGGCATGGACAAAGTTATGATGGCGTTGGTCAACTACGTCATGCTGTAAGAATCTTAATTTCCCCCCACAAAATGTCTCATTGCTTTAGCTACTCTCCCATTGGAATCATGTCACTGGTTGTCGCAAAAATCTTGGATATTGAAGACCTCTCGGAGACCGGGAAAATGTTAGCCATGTACATGGTTACTGTCATTGTCGGCCTTATAATTCATGGAGTTTTTACTTTACCCACGATCTACGCTGTGTTGGTCAAAAAGAATCCATTTACGTTTATGCGAGGCCTAATCCAAGCCTGGGCAACGGCGCTGGGAACCGGCTCGAGTTCAGCAACATTACCCATGACTTTCAAGTGCTTGGAAGAGAATAATGGCGTAGATAAGAGAGTTACAAGATTTGTGCTGCCAGTTGGAGCTACTATTAACATGGTAAGGGAGTTTGAGAGAATTTTGAATCCAAGTTGCTCGTTTTAGGATGGCACAGCGCTTTACGAAGCGGTCGCTGCAATTTTTATTGCGCAAGTTAATGGAATCGAATTGGGATTGGGACAAGTGATCACTGTGTGGTAAGTGAAGGGCCAAGAGGTGAAGTTTGGGGCTAGCAATTTACAGGGTCTTTCAATAAACGTGAAGGAAAGTTGGAGGCCATAACTTTTGGCGGAAGCGGCGCTGAGACTTCGTTTTTGGAATATGTAATTTTTAGCGACATTAATTTTTGCCCATGAAATCACAAGATTTTAAAGTGCCTATGACCCTGTATACAAAGTTTTTCCCTACAATTTACAAGCTTTTCTGGATTTTTTTCACTGAAAGCATATTCACGTTGTTAACGGCTTCGTTTTATCGAGCCGACGAAGCCACCGTACACGGTAACCCTAAAAACACACTAAAAATTACTCTGTTTACTCCTTGGATCCCCGGCGTTGCCGTGTCGAAGATCCGTAAGAGTAGTGTCAAATTTTGACCAACTCTCCGCTAAAGCAAAGTCAAGGCTCCATTAAGAGTCCGTTGAGAGTTCGTTGAATGGTTATAACCGAGGCTTTGCAGGGTTTTCTCTAGAGACAAATTGGCTAATTGTTTTGATTCTCAGAAGAGTGACAGAAGTGTCTTACAGGCAAACCCGCGTAGGTTTATAAAGTTAGGTGGCCTTAACATGTTCAAAATTTACTTTAACCAAAGTCCAAAGCCAGTTACTCCTATATCTTTAGTCTAACCGCTACACTGGCCTCAATTGGAGCCGCCGCAGTTCCCTCCGCCGGCCTTGTCACCATGCTGTTGGTCCTCGGAGCGGTTGGGCTTCCATTGGACGACGTCTCATTGATCGTAGCCGTTGACTGGCTTCTAGATCGGCTTCGGACTTCCATCAACGTACTTGGCGACGCATTTGGCGCTGGGATTGTTCATCATTACGTCAAAGATCAGTTGGAGAGAAATGATTCAAAGAAAAAAAGAGAAAGCCCCAGCAAACCGAACAACTCTTTCGAGCCGGAAAGTGAGTCGTGAGTAAAATACGACATTTATTTTGTTTTTATTTGAACTAAAATTTGATTTTCAGGTGCATTGTTAACCTATGAAAAAGTGGATAAGGAAAAGACCCTGAACGGAGATGTCCCTACGATAATTTAATTCGAAGTTTCTATAAATAATGATCACTACTTCTTACAATATACATGTATAATATAACTGTTCTTTTTTTCAATTTTTTGGAGGACAATAAACAAGTTCCTCCTCCCTCAATTGGCCTTTTATTCACGGATTCGGCGAACGGTAAAATTGGCAAATTAAAAAAAGGATGTTTGGAAGAGGCAAAAAACCGATAGTAGACAAAAAGCAGCAGCTAACCGGGGGATATAACATTCTGTGCATCGCGAATTGTTGTCAGGGCAAAGATTCAGGGTGGAAACTTCATAGAAATTAAGATTTTCGAATTTTGGAATTTTTAATTTTTGAAAAATTAGTAAAAAAGTATTTCGCGTTATGCAGAAATTTCCGGTGAAATTAGCTCTAGAAATAATAGAAGCTTTTTGATGTATGTCTTTTTTTAACGGTATGGTCTGATAAGTTCAATTTCTGTCGAGTATTCTGTATTCATCAAAAACAAGATACCTAGGCAAAGCGCTTTGACTTGTCTTCAAACTTGGTGCCATTACTCTAGTTAGGCCTCATTTTAATGCCTAAAAATTTTAGCTTGGGCTCAGCAGTTGTCAGCCGAAATATTCAACTGTCTGTCTGCGAGAGAGTAAGTACGCAATGCGGAGGACTTTTTAAGAGAGTTGGCTAGGCGAAAAAAGTTTCTTGGCTAAAACTTTTCAAGCTGTAATCAGAAAGAAATCGGTTTCTAGAAAAAAACCTCTACGATTTTCAGTTCTAAAGAAGCCAAGAATTTCAAGACATCGACAAAAAAGATTTTGCATTTTTTGCCAACTTCTGACGTAAAAATCTTGACGGTTGCCGCAAATCGCAAGCTAATAACGATTACTGACAAGTCTAAAAACCCTCTCCTAAAACCTCACTAGTCCCTTTGAAATCACACTTGTCATTACTGTGGGTACCACCTCCAAATCAACTACCGAAAAATTCCAAAAAATCTCGTTTTTCCTGTAACTGCTTTATCACAAGTCTTACAATCAGTTCCTTTTTACATAATCCTTGCTCCGTTTTCCCTAATTGTAATCTTTAATTCTCACCCATAGATTCCGCCTTTTGCCGCTTTGCTCAAGCCGTTTCGGAAATCCCCTCCAGCCCTCCTTATCCAATTAAAGTTTTGGATTTATTATTTATGATAATTGTTCGGCTTTCGGTATTTTCGTCCGAGATTAAGATTGCCTACGGCGTTCCACGTTCGGGCCAGGTGGGCCCGTTTATCCGGGGATAACAGCGCTCAAAAGATTAGACGTGGGGAACGGGGGTGGCTGTTTTGGACGGATATTGCGGTTTAGGGCAGTGAAAATGTAATCAGTGTCATTTGAGTGGTAGTGTTGTTTATTATGTTTATGTGAAAGTTTGATTGCGGAGGAGAATTTTTTAGTCAGAAATTTTGATAAAAAGGCTGCTGAGGAGGGAAAGATTTCTTTTCGTTAAAATCTGCCATAAAGATTTTCAACAAAATTATTTTTGAGTATTTTTTTAGCTACACTATCGGACAGGATCACGTGGCAAAAACGGATAAAAATGCAATAAACTGTATCCTTCTCCATCGCTTTTCTGATGAAGGATCTCTTCCAAGGGAAATACTACAGTGGCGAACCTGATCCAGTGGCAAAAATCATACAATTTTGCATCCGGGAAGTATCAAAAAATGTAGCAAAATACCCCTTCTCCAAGTGAAAAAACTATGATTTCAAAAGCACGCCCGCTCTTTTTACAAGAGAAAGGGGGCGCCCTTCAAAACGGAGTCTTTTTTTTAGTTAGAGAAGGAGGTATTTTGCTACATTTTTTGACACTTCCCGGTATATAACGAACAATTTCGGGGGTCCCAATTTTCTACTACGCTTTGATGGCCCAGCTATTATGCATAGATTTCTGAAATGGTATCTTTTTTTGCCACTGGATCAGGTCCGTCACTGTATCTTCAGTCAGACAACGTATGCAAAGGCATGCATTTACTGCATCCAGCATTCATTTGTATGTGTTTTCTGCCCGATGATCCTGTCTGTACTGAAAAACACAAACCGCTTACTTTTATCTTCCTGCACTAATTTCATGCCATTACTACCAATTACAGTTATTTTTACCCTCAGATGAAGTTAAAAATCATCTATTTTTAAAAATATCATGTTCCTCATCCATTTTTGGCGTTAATTTCCATTTTTTGTCCCCTCTCATTTGTGAATTATCCAATTCGAATTTTTATTTCCCAATTTGATTATCTCCAATTTATGCAGCAAAAAAGTTTCGTTCATCTCATTATCCATGTCCACCTCATTCATTTTCCCTTTTCTTTTGTGTTTTCTCATCCTTTGGCATCCCCCGCAATGCTCGCCGCACAATGCCGGAGGGGTTCTGACGTTCGTCGCCGGGGTTTTGTTAATTTTGTATGATTTTTTGGAGGAAATTTTTTTGTAAGTTGTAAATTAATTAAATTCGTTTTATTTGCATACTGTAATTTAAAAAAAAACCACAAATTCAGTCTTAATTTCCAGTTTGAAAATTCGTTTTTCACAAATAAAAACTTTATTTTTTAAAAAAAATTTCGTAATTATAATTTTTTTAATCAAAAAAAATCCCATTTCCCAATAAAAACCGTCTCAAAAATTTCCAAACTGCTAATAACCGACTAATTGATTCACCTCCAAAATTTTTGTCTCTGCTTTTTTGAGGTTCGAAGACGCCAAACCCTAACAACCGTTACTCCGGACCCAGTTATAACCACCGTTTTCTCACATTCCTCCACATTCGTTCGTTTTGGCAGGTTTTTCTGGGTAAAAAGAGTATTTTTGGAAAATGTACTCGAGAAATTAGGAATTTTCTCAGGAGATCAAGTGGGTGTTTCTGAATGTGCTCTGTGATTTTACGTACTACAGGATTTCAGTTTTGTAAACTGTTAGTCTCAGTGGTTTGGCGAACGTTTCGCGCATTGGCGAAGGCTCGGCGGAGATTTCTTCACCGGCGGAGGCCGTTCTTGTGGCTTGGCTTTTGCGGATTGAATTTAAATTTTTTCTCTTGTCAGATAAACTTTTTTTGGTTTATCTTACATTGATTGCTCCCGTCGGATCAAGGGAAGTCGATCGGACCTAAAAAATCTTTCATCTTTAATAAAATATTCGGCTTGGCACTCGTTTTCCCCATGGAAAAACATTTGCCTTATAAGTACGAAAGGTTCTAAAATTTACTGGCTTCAAAAATACCACATCCTAATGCGTGGGACAACAGACAGTGGTCAAAAGCACCGCTGACTGTGCATTCCAAATACAGCCAAATTTAAACTGCAATTTCGGTTCAGCATTCCGTCCACAAAAGAGCGACTTTCGACTCTCCCCTCATTGCCAGAATAACAAAATTTTTGTGGCCAGAGAAGAACTAAAGTATTTTGCAGTGTTCGCAATCCTTCCTTGATGCAATTTGAAGCGCTTTTACCACTGAACTTCGCGTCACACCATAGGAGTTCCCATATTTCGTATATACCCAAAATTCGACTAGTTCAAGGCGCTCTATGGATAAAATTTTGCAGATGAATCCCTTGAAAGGTCCCTACATTTCATTCTCTTGCATAAACGAGTACCACATAAATATCATCAACATTACGTTTCAAAATACCTAGAAAAACGTCACTTTTTACCACTTTCCACCATACCTGCCCCATTAACTTCTGATATCAGACTCCCATTCCATAATGATTATTTCCCCCTTATATTCCACCTAGTTTGTGCTCTGAGTCGTTTATTATGCGCTCCTGACGTCCTGGTCAAAAAATGTCTCAATTTAATGTGAGTGCTCGTAGCAAACAACAGGTTCGTATGTTCCCATTGATGTCTGGCTTTCCCAATTTCTCTCCAGTTTGTGATAATCGCCTAAGCAGTGTCAATGCGGATGTGTTCTTTGCAGAGTTTATCCGTTTATTTTGACGGGCAGGCAGGAGATGGGGATATCCTACTGAGAAAGGGTACAAGAGAAGGTGTCAGCGGCTACAGTGACGGAGTCGATCCAGTGGCAAAAAACGCACTATTTTGTATCTGGAAAGTATCAAAAAATGTAGCAAAATACCTCCCTCTCCAACGAAAAAACTCCGTTTTCCCTCGCAAAAAGAGCGGACGCGCTTTTGAAATCGGAGTTTTTTCACTTGGAGAAGGAGGTATTTTTCCACATTTTTTGATACTTCCTGGATGTAAAATGGTACTTTTTTTGCCACTGTATCAGGTCCGCCTCTGTATATGAAATAAACCGTGGAATCAGAGCTCTGGATCCTACTGAACGAGGTTACACGAACAGACGAACGATTTTGTTCGTCTCTTCAACCATTTTTGAGAACACTGCAACGAGATTCTGATAAACACAAAGAAACGAAAAATAAAGGATAACAAAAGGATTTCGTTCCCAATATGATTATCTCTGGGGATTAGATGGAAAAACACTTTTCAAATTCAAAATTGGGACCTTATATAGGGCTCGTGCTTTATAAGTTTCGTCGGCTTTGCAAAAAAGTGTTGCAAAAAGGCGTTCAGAATTCGCTCTGAACGCCATTTTGCAACATCAGTTCAAATCGTGAACGCCTTTTTGCAACATCAGTTCACCCCGTGAACTGATTTTGCAATAATCAGTTCACGATTTTTCACGATTTGAACTGATGTTGCAAAAAGGCGTTCAGAGCGAATTCTGAACGCCTTTTTGCAACATTTTTTTGCAAAGCCGACAAAACTTATAAAGCACGAGCCCTATATGTAGTCATGACATAGGAAACCCGTTCTAAGCCGTGAATAAAACCGTTGTAATCCGCGCTTTTGACCAACATATGAAAAAAAGCCGGCGGTGTTTTGTTCGTGCAACCCTGCTACTGAACGTTGTTTTCGGCATCATCTAGGGTGTGCCCTTTTTACTGCTATTAGTTGTATTTTTGCTCTCGATTTCAAAAAGACTTGTGTTTCCAAACCAAAGATGCAATTGTATTTACAATCTCTAAAAACAAACCC